GAGGAGAGGAGAGGAGAGGAGAGAGGAGAGGAGAGGAGAGGAGAGGAGAGGAGAGGAGAGGAGAGGAGACAGACCTACTGAATTTAATACAGTTTACTCCCAGATTAGGCAATACAGGGTTGCAACCTCAGTTGTTTCTCAACATGAATGCAGTTAAAACAGGGAGAAACCATATGGGGCTCTACCGGTGTTGGACTGCAGCTCTCATCACAACATGGCCCAGGCTGGCCAACGATGACAGGAACTGAAATGCAGTAGCAGAGGAGGCAGGGGATGTGGCTCATCCCTGAGATAAACCCATTTTTAAAAAGCGTATTGCGGAGAAAACACGCATAATTCCAACCAAGCATACTGGTTGCCCCCCCCTCCCCCGGACAAGCCAGCTAAAATGGAAAGGTTTTATATCCTTTAACTTGTAAAGCACCTTTGGCTCGGTTAAAAAAACATTGTGAAATACAGTGAAGCAAAAATGCTCATAAAAAAAGCTGAGCCCAAAATCAAACAAAAAAGGTTACTTCACTCTATGATTAAAAAAAAAACAGGCCAGAATTGTCTGGTCTTTTCCATGGAAAGAAGCTGAACTAAATTCAGAAAAACTCTCCTTCTTTGCCTACAGCACTTCGATTGCACTGTCAGCAGCTGATTTAAATAAAGAAAGGATGCCTAGTAAGACATGATGTGATAGCACACTGCAGGTCTAGCTGAAAGGGCAAAATAGCATGTCCTTAATATATGTACTAATTTTTTTTTCTGGCACAGGCAATGAACAAGTTAGGACTAATTCAAATCCAAATGCTCTCCCTTTTCCAAACCACTATAAAGTGAGAAATGGGCATCTTCTCTAAAAAAAAAAAACCCACTGAGGCTGTGTATCCCGACAGTAAGATGCTCCAATGAGCACATATACATAATGGAACGTTTGCACAGAGAGAGGACAGACGAATCACTCTGGATTCTATGGCAATCTACAAAGAGCGGTTATCTCACAGGACCTAATAACATCTGAATGAGGCCTCGGGGGAAAGAATCACATTCATAACTACTACAGCCTCCCTTTCCTTTAAATACCTGCCTAGGGTTTTCTTAGATTCTTAGGTCAATTCTGTAAACTGAACTGGAACATTTTAAAAAGTGACCTTATGCCATATTAGACTGTGACCTGGTTTGTACATCACGGTAAAGATCCTTAAGCAATATGTTTCGTTTGAAGTTAAATATTTGCAAACCCAGCCATTCTGACTTATAAAGCATGATTTTATGGCTAAATGTGTTGTGTACAACCAACCAATTGTGGTTTATTCAATGAACTATGGTTAAGCAAACCATGCCTTAGCACAATATATGAGCCAGGACAATATGTTCCCTCTAAACAAAGGTTCTTGGAAGGGCTATTAAGTGTCCCCAAACCAGCCACAATTCTGTTGCCAACTCTCTATGGAGAACTCACTATCCATGACTACCATCAAATTTGCACTCACAGGAGGAATGTCCACTCGGGAAGCTCTTGCGCCCTTCAATCACTACTTGTGCATCCCCTGTGCACAAGAACTGATGGGTTGCCCGTCCATCTGGAAAGCAGCGGTAGAAAAAATCAGGCCGAGGCCTAGAGGGAGGGAGGAAAGAAGGAAGAGAAGCATAGGTTAAGGTTTCTTGACGCCAGGGAGGTAGGCAAGAAGAGCTGAGGCAAAGAGCCAAATGGAATCTCCAACTTTGCTATGACAGCTGGAGACTCCATTGTGGTCCATGGCTGAGTAGGGCCTTGCATCTGGATTTCCAAGTCCTACATCTTACCTAGGACATTAATAGCCACGCATACCACAAACACAAAAACAGGGCAGTCCTCATGGGCCAGATACTCCTGTCCTCTCCACCTGGAATAGGTTGGATGGTATCAGGGTAAAAAGCTTTAAGGAGAGAAACCTCACCGCTTGTGGCCACCTGAAGGAGAAGGCATCTCCATTACATTCCTTCCTCTGTGTGGAAGAAGGGAAGTCTTTTTCTCTACCAGTGGCCCTTTTTATAAAGGTGGAGGAAGAGAGTGGAAATACGGTTTAGGGGAGGGAGGGAAGAAGGGTTGGGCCCGATATGAAAGCTCCATAGCTACAGCTATCTCACCATTACCTTAGCCTGGATTGCAGAAAGTAAAAAGTTAAGGAGCAATGGAGTGAATAATATTGTTTCTGATCAAAGATGGGATGGAGAGGCCAAAGGAAGGTAAATGATACTTTCAACATTCTCCTTTGGATGACCGCTCTAAAAACAAATGCAAGGGAAGAGTTCTTTTGTTACTTATCTAATATTACAGGAAGTGTCCCAACATTGCATAGTTCCTCTTCCCCACTGCAGTCTGGTTTGTTTCACTTCGCCTCTGCTCCTCTCACACTACTTTCTCAGAAGACCAGCCCTGCCTAGCAGCAACCAGAGTAGGAATGGTAGCTCTTTCTCTAGAAAGACCAGCAAAACATCTTACCTGCCCACGACCAGCTTCACAGCGTTGGTGAAGATGCCATTCAGGGCAAGGGCCAGGCTAACAGCTGCACCGAAGAAAAACAAAAGAAGGTAATTCCAGATTAGATCCCTATGATGGAGAAGGATCTACTGTGCTACAGCTGGGACTGAAACACAAGTACAATATCTTTAGAGCAATTCATCTAAATGGGTCTCACATTTGTTTGTGTGGGAAGTCCAAATTTGGGGTTACCATGAACAAGCTGCTTGGCATCTCCTGCCAGCAGGTATGGTAAACGAACTATGGAAACATGGGTCTGTTACTGCAATATGCAGATGGATTCTTGGTTTGTTGTTCCTAACAGTTTGGGAATTGAAGGCAAGGACTTTTTTGAGAGGGAAAACACAAAGCTTGTATCAGTGTCTTCCCCACAGTAGACTTTCTTCCAAACATTAAGGCAACAACACGCTTCCCATCCCTTCACTACTAGACAAATATGACTAATTTGACATGATGAACCTGCTGCCCTATTCAGCAATTTAATGCACCACCTACTTTCTGGAAACACCATCCCCCTGTGCTCACCTAAGCACGCCTCCCGGGTGTCTTCTTTACCAGCCTTCATGAAGAATTTGGCCAGGAAAATCAAGACCAAAGGGGACAGGAAGGAAATGAACTGGAACAAGAGGACCAAGATGGGATTAAAATCAGTGGTACCCTCACAAAAGCAAATCAAAACTGCAGAATGGGGGGGGGGGACACTGGGGGTTGTTTATCCTTTGTTTTCCAAGTGGTAAGCTTTGAAACAGAGCTGTACAAACTTTTTCAGAGCAGGGGCTGTGCTTGGCTCTTTGATTGCCTGTTGAAGATTATGCTAAAATAGGTTTCAGAAAAATGGGTATTTCTGCCAAGAAAAAAAAAAAAAGTCAAGCAGCATGCATAAGCCTTCATTTAGACCAGTGTTTCTCAACCTTGGCGACTTTAGGATGTGTGGACTTTAACTCCCAGAACTACCCAGCCAGCACAACCCTACATGGCATGGGTCCAGGTTACCTGATGGACCATCTCACCTCCATCACATCAACCTGTCCCACCCGGTCAGGCAGAGAGTGCATATTGCGACCCCGTCAGCGAGAGAATGTCAGCTGGCAGGGCCCAGGAGGAGAGCCTTCTCTGCTGTTGCCCCCGCCCTTTGGAATATTCTCCCCTGAGATGTGGCAGGCCCGCACCCTCCCGGCTTTCCAGAAAGCACTAAACACCTGGCTCTGCCAGCGTGCATGGGGTGATATGGGCTCTAATCGTCCTTGGGGCTGGTTAGTGCCCTGATGACACTCCCTGAGTTATTCGCCAACTCTCCATCTTTCTTGCAATTTTTTTATTATTAAGATTGTTTTTATATTGTATTTTAATTGATTTTATCTCTGCTGTAAACTGCCCAGAGTCATTTCAACAAGATGGGTGGTAACAATTATTTGTGTGTGTGTGTGTGTGTAAATAAATAAATAAAATAAAAAGTTGCAGTGAGAATGAACAAACCACTTACAAACATGGGTTTGGTGGGCACGTGGTCAGACTCTATGTAGGGGTTTTTATAGAGCCACATTTCTTCAGGCTGTATGACTCGTTGGAAAGGAGTCAGAAGTTCAGTGAACCTAAAGAAAGTAGGATCAGAAGATGTTTGGATCTGCAAGGATTACGGGCTGTTTTCCACAGCAACTTACAGGATCACGTTGCGTTTCAGTTGCATGGAATCACACAAACACACATCCTAGGTACATTTGATACACTATAACACACCTTACCCGAGTGTTTGTAAACATCTATTGGCTAGCTTTGCGCTGTCATAAAGTATCTTTCTAAACCAGCACTGTAACAGCCCAAGCAATACAGCACAGCCCATCATCTCTATTGAAATATCTTTAACCTCATCCCCCCCAGGGGAAAAATAAAGGTTCATAATAATCAAGTTTATAATCCAAAAGACACAACATGCAAAGAAAAAGGGAGGAGGATGGCGGTTCTTACGACCAGATGGGACAAACCCCAGCCTTTTTCTCCCTCTGTCCTGCAGTTCCTTAATCCATCTGACAACTTTGGGATATGCCTATATATAGAAAACGGAACGGAGGTGCCTGCCTGCCTTTGATGGGGACTGGAATTTTTCTTCCAGTCATTTGCAACCCAGGCGCTCCCTGAAGGTCGCTGGCCTATCCACCCATCGCTCCTCTTCCCTGAGGTGAATTGCAATGCACCACAGCCACCTAGGTCTAAGGGCCTCGTCCAGCAACATATACTGAGCCTTCCCAAGCTGCTGGCTGGGAATTCGGGACCTGGAGGGCCCTAACATCTGGTGGGCATGTGGCCCGAAGCCGCCCCAGCCGATCCTCCCACCCGCCCACGCTCGCACGGTCTAAAATCGCCGGCCACCCTACCTCCCTCACCCACCCC